AGTACGTACGTTACAGTAGTATATTGTGGGAGCTGGTGCTTGATGTAGGTATTTCACGTGTATTACAAGTCACCAGGCCCCATCCCTTGAATGAGACTTAATTACTAAGTAATAAGGCGTAGGTGAGTAGATTAAACTTGTTAAAATAAAATAAAACTATAAAACTAAAAACTACATAACTACAATACATAATACTTTGCGACTATAAAACTAGACTTAAAACAAATGGAAAGCGCAACATGCCTCACCCCATAATACGTAATCATCATCTTCATTTCAGCCAAAAGACTAACACATAATACGAATGAAAAAATTAAAATTAAAAACTTAAATAATTACGTAAAAATTAATTATGAATATAACAGGCAGCTTGTGCGCTGTGCTGTTACGGAGTCCGTCATCCATCCGTCACACTGAAAGTACTACGACGCTGTTTTTCAGTCGGTCCGATAACAGAAATACACGTGACACGGAACATAGCAGATGCATAATCAGATGGGCATTATTTCGAGATAATTAGTTTAATTTAAAAATGTGTACATATACCTTATTTCATAAAAAGTAATTAGGGCAATAATTATAATTTAGATAATAAAAATTTAATTACAATTATATATGATTTATTATTAGGTAGCTCCATAATTGAGTAGGTATAAAAAAGTCAGCCTTGGAGGTTTTTTTTAAAAAACCCCTCATATTGATGGTGTATTTACAATACATTTGTGATATAATGGTTTATGCGCGTCAGAACTTAAACACTTTAACGAGGGCTCTACGAGCGTAGGCCGAGTGTTGCAAAACTCGGGATAACTATAATCTAGGGATCTACACTCGATCTCCGTCCGACATCCGTCCGAAACAATTACTGCCAAATAAGTGATATTCGACAAAATTAAGAGACAAGTATCAAGAATGAGGCTTCCTTCGCATCACGCGTCTTTTTCTTTGGTCAAGTATTACTTATTTGGCAGTAATTGTTTCGGACGGATGTTGGACGGAGATCGAGAGTAGACCCCCTGTTACCAGGTTCTTTACGTCCCAGCTTCTAACACCTACTAGCAAATCTAAGAAGTGCTACAAACGACCAAAAGTCTTTTATGCGGGTGAAACTTCTTTTAATATGTACAATTAATTTTATCCATAATGAATAATGAATTTTAAAGTGTAGAAGAATTTCTTTCCAAAAAACTGTATTTTTTGTTTTTATAATTTGACAATATTTTATGTTTTATTTCTATTTTTTTTAGTTTCATGTAGGTACAATTTTGTTTTACATTAATTTATTCTTGTTTATATTAGTGATGATTATTCATAGTCATTGTAACAGGGTAACGTTGTAAAAAAGTGTAGCAAGGTAACCGTTCTGCCACAGAGGCAGTTAAAATAATATTAACCGATCCTAACTATTTGCATTGACCTATATGACTATTTATAATAATACTATACTCCAAATATAAGATACTGCAAAAGAACACTAACGTGTACTGAATCCACAACAAAATATCTCCGTTACAATAATTAGTAGGGAATCAGTTACAAATTATTATCAGGCTAGAAGGACCATAATAGTACCTTCTGAGTCAGGCAGCCGGGCCGTCTCATTAGTGTACGGACTCAGCCCGTTGTGAGCCCTGCATTATTCATGTGGACAATATTACTGCAGCGTTCATGCCGTTCCATGCGGCTTTTATCAGATTGTACATTAGCGACGCAACAAACTAGTGCCGTGCATTGATATCGATAGCTGACTCATGTAACACAATACATTTTGTTAACTTACTTTGTTTTTACTTATTTTAATATTATATTTAATTTAGTATAATATCTATACAAATGTATTATAACGATGCCTTACTTTCTCAAACTTGTATCTTATAAAAAGTGATTATTCAAGAGATGGCAAAACTTTCTATTTATTTAAATTTCTTATCAAGGGTATTAATTTGGCTGCATTACTTTAAAAAAAGGTAAAAGTCAGTATGAATATGAAGGAAATGTGATGTGAAATCAACTTACAAAATTTGTATATACTATATATATTTTGCATTTTAGTAACTTTGTGCTTCACGATACGAACACCTAGACGTGCACACTCATCTACGTAAAGACACATACACGCATATACACGTACATATATACAAACATACAAGAAATTTTTTATAATTTAACTGCCTCCGTGGCCGAACGGTTACCATGCCGGACTGCCACGCAGAGGTCCCAGGTTCGATTCCCGGGCCGGGAGAAATAGTTGTATGGCCTACAATTATTTCTTTCGTGAGTTTGGGTGTAATTTGTGGTTGTCTATGTGTGTGTCCATGGCACCCGCGACACAGGCTTTCCCTAGTGCGTGGCTATGTTGAATGTGTGCGTTATTTATTATTTATTGTACATTTGGTCTTTGTTGCGTCTTTATAATATAGTTTAAAAGATTTATTAATATCACTGCCAAATTTGGTATCAATTTAATAGCAATATGTTCGAGTTGAGGAGTCTAAAACTCTAAGACACAAATCTCTTGATCTAGCTTAGCTTCCAGTCACACGTTCCAGTTACAGATTTTGTATTTTATTAAATGAAACCTGTTTTCGTAACAAACATTTTTTAACCAAAATTTGTGGAGAAAATATTATTACTATTTTGTGAATAGATTGAATAATCCATCCCTACCTCTATTGCGGCCTATTTTTAAATTTAATGTTGGTGACGTCTAAATTACAGTACCTTACCTTACTTGATTTATTAACAATGATGACAGTGTTGCAAAATGCCATTTGATTATCAGTGATGAATATGATCATTCCATTATCGTCCATTGGGTAAATATCGATTGATAGATAAATCTATTGCGGACAGTATTTCAACCGTGCTTTTAAATTGTATCTTAATTGCAGTGCTGAATCCTTTTAAGGAAAATGCTCTTTAGTTTTATCGTAATCGGTTTTTAATACATAAATTAAACGATATTATTATTATATATTAATCACGGCGATTGAAAATTTCTTATTGGCAGTTTGATTTGACATTCTATACTGCTTTTTTATAGAATGTAACATACCTTTATAACCCTATAGACATCGATTTAATGTTGATTATATTGTGAACACTCCTATTATATTCCAGTGTAGACTATCGATAAGGCCATAAATGAACATCACTGATAAATTACTGGCTAATATTTAATGAGACCACATCATATCGCCATTGTCATAACAGCTAATCAAAATGGTGAATCATATAAAGATGAACAGATCTAATGTGGCTTTATTAACCTTTGTTACAGTTTTGCTTTCATTTGCGATTTTTACATTTACTGAATTGGTAATGCATGTTAGTTAATTTACAAAAAATATTCTTTAACATATAGGGTTCAACAGAAGAGTTCGATTTTATTTTTAAAATTTGTGAATACTTATTATGATGTTCGGAAGTACTTATTATGGTTAGTGGATATATTGGATGAAGGTTGATTGATTTCGTTATATTTGAATTCGTTATCAAATAGAATGGTTAGTAGTGAATGGAGATGGAGAATACTTTTTCTGAAAGCTAAAACTAGTAATGAAGTTATCTGACAGAAAACCTAGGTCAACGACATAGCTCGTAAAATAAGCCGGCTGAAGCGGCAGAGGGTCAGCCCTATCTATCGAAGAATCGACAACCGATGGGGAAACGAGTTCTTAAGTGGAGACCACGATTCGGCAAACATAGTTTAAGAGGCTCGCTGATAAAATGCAGTAACAATCTGCGAAAAGCAGGAAGCAGATATGACATTACTTAATTATTGAATGATAGCGTCGATGTCAACGGTACGAGATCATCAGGGTCTTCAAATAGCACTGGGCGTCCATGAAAGTTCAATTCGAGGTTCATTTTGATTTTTAGTCTATATTAATGAATTACTTAATCTCGTGAAGAGTATAGAACATGACAGTTATGGTGAGTAGAGTATTGTTTGTTGATGGTACTTTCTTATTACTTAAAGTTAAAAGGCACCATTATTCCTATGACAATGTGAACACTACTATTTCTACGGTGGTAGATTGGTATATAGTTGATAACCTAATTATCATATAACAAATTGTGTGAAATTTAAATTACCCAATGATAGATAGACGGTCACAGACATCATTATTAGACATGAAACAATTTTTCGTCAACCTTGTAGATACAGTATTATTTCTAGATATAACTTTAGATGCTAAATTTCAATAGGCTCCAAGTTAGTTATCGAAACGGCTCAGCTCTGCAGTGTATGCGATTTTAAAAAATCGGAAACGTTCGGAGTAGAAACCGCTGTACTGGTTTACATTAGATACTTTTACAGTTTAATGACATAGGGCAAAAAAATCCAATGTCCGCAATATCGCTGATCGAACCCACTGTGTCGCTGATGATGACTCAATTATTATTATTATTTATGTATTGTTATGTTTTAATAATATTTGTATGGATATTTCTATCTACGTATATGACTTTATTAATAATTATTATATAGTGTACTTATAATGATATTCTTTGGTTGCACCCCTTTTGCATATCTCAAATTACTATCTTAATGTTGCCTGGAAGAAATTGCTACAACGCAATAAGGTCACCTGTTGCAATTTAACTAACTATATTTATAGCTAAGTTACTATATTGTATTTTAACTGTAGTTTTATGTACAACAAAAAATATTATTTTCATTCATTGATTCAATATGTTGAAATTTATGTATGTGTATTTCACACTTTACACTTCATATTTTTAGCGAGTTGATAATAAAGCACGATATGTTACCAGGCTATTTACTGGATTAGTCTATTATATTAACGGCAAATAAGTACAATTACATCTGAAGTAATTATTTCACTTTAAATTTAAGGAAAATAAAAAATACGGGAACCTGCTTGGTGATAAGCGCCACCATTTTTCACAAATATATGTAGGCATATAAGGCTGTTAAAATGAAGAAGTTTATTTGTAGCATAATAACTTATGTCGCTTTTTCTTTGTTACAGAGGAATTTTACTTCAAAACCAGCGTCGTTTCGGAGAAGCTATAAAGAGTTTCGAGAGAGCAATTTTCTTCAGACCTTCAATGGCTTGTGAGTATCGCAGAAAATTTATGTGGAATCCATTTACTAAACTTTTGGTTAATATAATTAAATTGAAATACTTTACAATGATAAGAAATGATTTTGAATGTCAACTTGGCTCGCCGTTTCTCTTGCCTACTTTTTCAACTCCAATATAAACTTTCGCCACAAATGGTCACTGGTCAGCTAAAGTTTGCATAAGTTTTAACACCAAGAAACTTTCGTAGAATTTTATCGGAAGAACTACAGGAAGCTGACCAAGAGTACTTTCAAAAGTCTATATTTGTGGTTGAACAGGACGACCGAGTTAGGAATGCCATTTAAGTTATATGGTTTTGTGATTTTGTATTGTTGCGCTTTTATGGCGACTTAGGTAAGATAAAATTGGGCGATATAAAAAGTACAACTGAATCTCGTTGGTTCCATTAAAATCACGAAATGATATAAGTTTAGTAGTATGATTTTACTCGTCCTTGTGAAAGAGTTTGTTCAGGGAAGTACTGCCACCTTAGAGAGCATTACTGCGTTCCGGTTTTGAAGGGTACTGGTGCTGCTGAAAGTATAGGCACTTGATACTCAACTTATGTCTCAGGTTGACGGGGGTTAGTGGTAGTGTCCTCTCAGATCTTTGCGTTTTAAAGCTCTGTGTGGCATTGCAATTGCTATGATCAGACTGTTGCTTACCACTAGGTGCACGATTTGTTCATCCCGTCACTTGATATCTTATAAAATTCTGATGTAGTTTTTTTGTTTTAGTGGCTTATGTTAACCTCGGCGCTTCGCTGATGGCCGATGGAAGATTGGCGGAGGCTGCAAGTGCATTACGCGCGGGAGCACGTGCTGAAGGTCCTCGTGTTCGAGATAGGAGAGAACACGACGCTGCACGTGTTTCAGCTCTCGTACAACTCGCAGCTTTGCATTCTCAAAGAGGCCACTGGCACAAAGCACTATCTGCTTATAAAGATGCGCTGCAAATATTACCAGACACTAACGCTCCTTTAGTGGGATGGACTAAACATGTAAGTAACTCATGATTTACATTACATACTTTGTGCGTATATAGTATGCCATAAAGCTTGAATAAATTAATTATTTATAAAGGATTGCCAACAAAGTTTACAACCTACCGTACACAACAATATCGTCGGAGGTAGTGCAATTACGCGTAAGTAGCATTTGATTATGAGTTTCCATTTCGGTCATTTAGTGACCGAATCAAATCTTTGAATCAAATCATCAAATATTTGACAATTGTATAACTAACTTAATTATAATTTTAATTTTTGACATTTAAGTTGTAATAAATTTTAATTGAATTGTGATTTTAAGACATTGTACGCCTGATTTGGGTAAGAATTGTAATTGTAACACCTGTATTTTACCAATTCATACAATAAATGTTTCTGATTTCTGATTTCTAATTTCTGATTTCCGAATCAAATCCGCGATAACATTTTGGAAAAAAAAAATTGTGCGTTATTTACGGGAATTTATTGTTATATATAAATTAATGCTTACTGTGTTAAATTTGGTTTGGTTAGATATGATAGGTCAGATACGCGCCTTTTACTAATACTTTATATACGCGGATTTGCACTATCCCTGACGATATGTCAAATTTACACTCCAGCCGCAGGTATATCTTTATTTACAAGTGTGAAGATCTCGGTGGCCCAACGGTTTATGCCATGGGCACTATATATACTCGTATATATACTATCGATTGTCACTTAGCATGATCCTGACAAACAAAGATCAATTTACGTAATTATTTTTTTTATTGGTTCTGGCCTGGGTGTTCTGAATAGTACCTCGGAGTAAATCGTGTTTGGTATTCATAGAACACAGAATTCCCTAATTTGAGATCAGGTAATTGGTGTAATATTATGGCATATTATAATTATTTCATGTAACTTCACTAAGTCGAGACTATGATCGATGCGTAAACAAGGCTGGGAAGTTAGTAGCTGGCTGTAATAGATAACAAAACATAAAGTTTCCAAGGATTATCCATTTTCACTTTGTTCACAGAGTGTTTTGTCGATGGCTGCGGAGGTTTATGTACAGTTACAACAGTGGCCTCAGGCGGAGAATAGTTTATTGTCTGCGTTAAAAGTAGCACCTCATCACGCAGGCACGCATGTTACACTCGCTCAGATTCTGGCGAGAAATGTAAGTGTGGAACTAACGCGACAAGGACGCCAAGTTTGAGGATTTATTATAAGCCGCTTTTTGTTCCAGGCCAGTAGAATATTTGAGGCGGAAACGTGGTTCAAAAAGGCGCTTACTCTGGCGCCGAATGATCCATCAGTAAGGGATCAGTTTGGTAAGCTTTTGTGTTTTTATACGCGTATTATAGTATACTATTTTACATTTGCTGAGTAATATCATATAAAAAAGGTTATGTTAAAACAGGCTCACGTCTAACAAAGCTATTAAGCTACATGGAAAGGTAAAGTATAATGATAACCTTAAACGGAAATATACTTCTAACCAACTTTGAAAATAGAGGAACATTTTTTATTCGTATAATAGTTGATGAGCCCATTCAATTTTGCTTTGTAGATGATGAAATAATTCAAATGAACGATATTGAACACAGCATTTGAAGGTCTATGATTAAAAATATTATTGTATTTACACAGGCATGTTTCTACGATCTCAAAGAAGGCTACGTGAATCAGCCGAGCAATTGGTAATAGCGGCAAGATTATCGCCAACAGACAGTGTACGTGCTGCGTCTGCAGCGAGGGCACTGAGAGACGCCAGGAGGTGTCGCTCCGCAGAACGGTGGTACGCCAGAGCCGTAAAGTTAAATCCGGAGGTCGGTTAATGAAATGTAAATCCTATTGTCATTGGCATATTCTGCGACCATGTGCCATTTACTCAGCGGATAGAAAGTAAGACAGGATAACTTTGAAGACCATCTTATCGTATTTTCAGTGGTTGAAATTCTACATATCGTATTTATGGCATGATAGGGTAAGCTCCCCAAACATCGATTTTGTAGAACGTCCTCTATTTAATTAACAACGTGTGGTTTTATCATTATTGTGACACGCTTGCATAATGAACATAGCGGTACCCATGGCTGGTGTAGGTATAATTAGGGGCATCAGTTTACGAAAGTATCTAATTAACTTTTTGTTGTTATTAATTCTTGCAAGAATGATAATATTTTAATTAGTAATTCATTTTGCTACTCTCACCTGTCCTGACATCAATAGACGTTAGCGCGATAAAAATATTCTCTTAATTTGTTTATGTTTATTGCTTATTTAAGACAGAATACTATAAATATAACGATAAAGATAAATATTACTTAACATAGATCGAAATATTTGTTTGTAGTTAAACTGAGTTTTAGTATTTTCTCATGATGAATTTACAAAGAAATAAGAAACCAATTTTGCTTGGAATGTGAATTCGTTCATATTTCTGAAGACTTTTTTTTCTATATTTATTTACTTGTTTAAAATTCTGTGCGAGCAATTGTCAAGGGGTAATAAGTTATTTCGAAGTTTTCTGAAGGCTGAGCGTCATTTCGCCCTTTTTCATACAAATTCAATTGAAAGCTCACTTTAGATTGAAAGTCAAAAGTTTTTTTTGGAACCAAAACAATATTAAAAACGAGTTGTATTATATTTTAGTATATGGTTTTAGTACATTATTTTAGGTCTGTTCAATATTAAACAATGATTATTATTAGTGGCAAAATTTTGGTACTGTGAAATGTAAGTAATACTTTAACATGAATCTGTATGTTGTTTTGTTTCACCGCTAAATTGAAAGAAACAATCCACTAAATAGATTTAACACTAAGAGTTTCATTGAAAGTCCATCTCTTTCACAGGACGCCGAGTACCATTCTAATTTAGGCGCTATTCTGCATCTGAATGGAAAATATGCAGCTGCTGCTACATCCTACCGGCGTGCTTTACAATTGCAGCCCAACGATGACGTCACAATCACCAACTTGAAGAGAGTACGAGCTCTTATGAACCAGCGTTGAGTAACTATTATTTGTATTAGTTTATGATTGTCTCTTCCAAATAAGAACAGGACTACATATAAGTATAATGTCACTGGCGTAAGCCGTGACTGGATGTCTATTTGCTTTGGTCATGATGTACCTATCTATTTCGCTTTCTTCACTCGCCTCACATGTCTGTTTATTCTTGACACTTTTGACCCTTTTTCAAAGACACTCCAACGCGGGTTAAAATATGTATGCCGATGGCGACCTTTCTCCACGATTCCATCTATTATAGCTTTATAATAAATTTGTTTCGTTATTCTGCTAATCATTAATCCATTCCAAACTACCTAAAAGGATTGCCTTTTCTATCCAAGTTACTATATCGTCTTTGACACCACAAGGCTCTCATATTACACTGTTCCATTATTTGTTTTCTAAGAGTTACACTACACATAAAGCACAACTTCCTCATTTCTGTCATTAATCCATGTATTCATTCATTGAATAGAGCTATGGTGATATAATTTCAAACTCATCTTTACCATTGTTTAATTTATGCGCTTAGTTCAATGAACAAAAGTGGTCGGCCGTTCTAGTGGAACTAAATAGATTCTCTTTTCTGTTTTCTTCTATTAAACATAGTACATGTTTAAACCATATGGACGAAACTTTTCTTAAATTAATCCATTTGGGATCCATTTGGTTAATACTACGTATTAAATCGTCAAACCAAATGGACTAAAGATATGAATAGTAGAACTATCGTTTGACAATTTCCCGCTAAGATTTAAACTAATAGTCCTTTTCTTATTTGAAACTGGTCCTTCATAGATAAATAGGATGTCAATTGCCAAAAATAGCTAGAAATCCACCGTGTATATCGACATATTTAAACTTCAATATATAAAGTTCAAAAGGTAACTTAAGAATAATAACAGTAATTCTAATTTTTATGCTTCAAATGGAAAACTATTTTTATGCTGCAAAATGTTAAAAGTATTTTATGAACTGCTGCAAATAACAAGGCCTTTAAAAACTTAAACATCAAGTCTTTGTTCAAACTAAATAACAGGAAAATTAGTTCTCTGAAATCGTGTTGTTTCTTATTTTAAAAAATCCATTTGAACGGTAAATTATAGGTATAACGAATTGCAATTACTGAAACAGTCTCTACACGGTCGGGAAAAGAAAAAGTGTGGAATTTGTGAAAATATTGGTGCCTGGTTACTCTGACAGGCGATCAAGCATTGCAAAAAGCTAAAGTCACCATACCCTATAATGCGATGATAGACGATCGGAATTTTATCACACTATTTTGGACCTACATATTACTCTCAACTCAATCACTACTGACAGATTTTTTACCAAGAAGTATATGTTTTTTTTAATGATAAATGACAGTAATAGCGGATATAAATAAATACTAAACTTGAATTATATCATGGATATCATTAACCGGAGTTAAGTAAGGTAATTTACATTGGTAATACTCAATTGTTATATAGTCCATCAGTATTGTCTTTTGGCACGATGATCATGGATACAATTTCATATAATCCATACGGTCCTAATTTGAACCTCAAAGGCTCTTGAAACAACGTAAAGGCGTAGCTAGAAATGTATTGTAAATATTTTTTTTAATTATAAAAAAATAACGATTTTATACGTGTGTAAATATCTATATAGAAAAAACCCACATTTTAAAAAGTTAAATTAGAAATGGATTTCGTTATTCCCTATGTTTTTGTTGCTAAATACTCAGCAAAGGCTAGTGTCGTTTACACTGAGTAAACGTATCTACGAATGTAGTGTACAAAGTTACGTGTTCGTTTCGATAGATACCTTCACATGTCTTTTATCACGTGTATTCTGGGAGATTTATACCCAATAGATTCTTCTAGGTCAGCTGTATTCAATCAGTAGTTCGGAGGCGACCTATCAAACTTGGTACCTGACCAATTTAGTGAATTATAGAGTTACGGTTAGATTTCTAATTACGCACTGTATTCTGTTAATTGAATAAACGTAATTATGACCTAATTCCAATGAACAAGTTCGATACGGGAAATAGTTATTTGCTAAGCGAGGGTGTAAAGTTGTTGTTTGACGTGAGTGCTGGAGTATTGAAACCTGAGCAAGCGAGGATTTCAAGGCGTAAAACAACTTTGCTGCCGAGCGAAACACACAACTTTTTACCTCACCATGGCGAGGAAAATGGTAGATGAAAGGAAAACAGTTGAATTATAAAACATTAGTGTTTTGAATCAAAAGAAAAACTTTACCTTCTGAATTTGCACCTCATCAATTTTTAATCTTGGTTGTACTTATAATTTTATGTGATTAAATGATTATTGAAATTGTTTTAGTTCTTCGATGAATTAAAATCATTTAATAAACGCAATTAGTTATCATTGTCAATTTAATGCCAACAATAATAAGAATAAAATATACCAACGGATTTACATTACATAAATAAGTAATGTACGACAAATCGCGTAGTTGGACGTGTCGTATCTATGTATATATCTTTATTTTCATCGAAAGAAAAAGTTAGGTGCACAACAGTCCACCGTCAAGTTCGAATTTCAAAAACCTTTTCCACGCTAGTGTGCAAAAAACGCTTTTGCGTGCAGATTTCTAATGAGAAAGAAAGCCTTTCCGAGCTAGTAAGGTGAAAAATATTTTATTTTGGGAATTTAATTTACTGTTTGCCAATTTCAAAAAAGTTGATGTCAATTATAGCGCTTCTTTGTTTAAATATGTGTTGTTAATACTATTGCTGAACAAACATGTACGTTTTTGATATTGCCACATTAATTAAAGTTTCTTGTCTGTATTCCAGTTCATATGACAATGAATCGTGGTGAACGACGTTATTGTGATCATATATCTTTATTTTAGCTTATAAAGTCTGAAACATATCTATTTCATGTTTATGTAGAATAAATTTGATTGTTATTATACATTATGACATTTGTACATTAAAAACAAAATGTTATGGTTAAAATTTAAGTATGGCATACCTACTATCGTAAATGATAACTGACTTTTTATATTTTTAAAAACATTATTTTTATCATAATTTTTCTCACATCTATGACAATAACAAATATATGTAAATTACGCTTTGTAGTAATAGATAAATGCCAAATGAGTTTTTTTTCATTTTAATAAAATATTTAAGTACCTGTATGTAATATTATACTAAATAGTTTGTTCTTTATACATTTAGATGGTATGTGATTTCATAAACCAAATATTAACAGAAATTTTGTCTGATTTCTAATCATATTTATAATAGGTTTTCTCTCGGGTTCTATTAAAGTTATTTTAAATAAGGTAAGTTGCTTCGTTCTCGGCTACAACGAAACTTATGAGATTGTGGTCAAATGTTTGCGATAAACACGGAAAAAAATATGATATATAATATAAAAATTAATTTAATAGTTATATTAATTTGTAGATATCTTTATATGCATGTAGGTGTTGCTGATTTATCTAATGACGTAAGAAATTATTTTCTACACCACTTCCATGAATTGTATGCTTTAACTTACTTTCCTAAAAAACTAATATAAACTGATAATTTATCAAGTAATTATAACATTGTACGCATTCTAGGTTAACAATTTAATAAGGAATTGTAACCACTATTGTTTTTATAAATAATAGTTATGTAAATATATATTTACGGCGTTAATGCAAGTAAAACTGCAAATTCCCAAAGTGATATTATATGTTGGTAATTTTGTAAATAAAAGCTTCGATATTTTAAAATTTAGTTTTTTTTAAATACGACTTCATGGGATCCCCAACAATTGTTCAGCGGACTGTGCGCTCCAGTTGTGCGACTCGCCTACATATAGTCTCTGTGAGTTTTACACAAGCCTGAAAGGGTGTAAATGTAGAGTATGAACCTAACAAAGGTAGTCGTGCCCATCCATTCAATTTTCAACCTTTCAAACAAGCAATCACCATCATACTCTGCAAGACTAAGGTGTGCATTGATCAGGCGTCACTTTTTGGATACCTTTTTGCCTCGCTGGGGAACTTCTTGCTTTTGCTAGACATCTATGGGGCGAAGTCATCGATAGTCGACAGGTTACACACTTACCATTAGCTACGTCTATACCTATAGCCTATGTGAGTCCTGTCCTGAAATGATGTCAATGTAGAGGCTGAACCTTACAAAGGTAGTCGTGCGGATCCATCTAATATTCAAACTATCAAACAAGCAATCACCACCATATTCTACAAGGTTAGGAATGTGCATTAAATAGTCGTGGATACTTAGGATACCTTGAATTTTCGCCTTGGTCACCAGCTGGGGAACTTCTTTCGTTTACCAGACATTTATGGGTCTTTACGCACGTAGCTAATCTTAAACTAATGCTAAATAAACAAACACGCGAAAATAGAGATTTTCTTAACTGTATATTGTGCAACGTATAATAATATACTACTATAATATGATTGTACGTGCTAGTTATGCTCACGCATGTCGAAATCACTCGTAGGTCCACATCATTTTTCAGTGTAAATTGACTGCTCAGGGAGGACATGTCCTTTGACTTTCTGCTTGTGAGGAGCCCGTAGGATATATCCTGACGGACTGACTGTAAGTAGTAAAAGTTCAAGACACTGTAGAAGGTTAAACAATACAGGTGTATAATTATTAATTACAACTAAGTAGGTACATAAGAAACATCTGATTTCTTAGAACATTTAGTACCAGTAGAGCTCCTTGTGACAGGGTTCGTCCAGGGAAGAACTGCCACATTAGCTATTTCTGCCGCCAAGCATGTAAATAAGCATTAATGTGTTCCCGGGAAACTATAGATTTATACTAGGGACCAGGTATATACATGTCCCAGTGTGAAGGATGCAGCGGCAATGCCTCTCAGGTTTTTGCGATTTACAGTTCTGAGTAGCACTGCAAATGTTAAGGATAAGCGTGCTTTTTTTATAATATCAAGTGACAGGACGAACAAGTCGTGCGCCTGATGGTAAGCTACACGCCTGTCTATAACAGTTGCAGTGCCACTCAGAGCTTTAAATCCCAAAGACCTGAAGCGCGCTGCGACTGGGCCCGTCACCCTGAGACATAAGTTGACAAGTCCAATGTGCCTGTAATTTCACAAAAATAGTGATAAGCTAGTTAGCTAGCTAGTAGCGTCATAAAAAACCCCTTTTTTTCATTAGGGGTTA